ATTAGGGACGGCTAGCGCAGATAGGCCTAGTGTAACTTTGCGCGAAATTTAAAAAAAACCGCTCTATAGCGGTGAACTGTACTCCTGACATCACTCATCAAAAATAGCTGTCGGTAGATTTAAAAACAAAGAATATCCAATGAATGAAAGCATATGTCGATGAAAACACAAACACTGCTCCACCAGAAGTCATTCTTGAAGAGCTTACGAAACATTGGAATACAAAGATCAGGAGTACGGTAACGGCGCGAATATAGGAGGACAGCACAAGGGCGTCCAACCTATGTTGTTGCAATTAAACAAAATGACATTTTTCGCCCCATAATAGTTAGATTGATAGGATTATGGATCCGAGGGTTCATGGTTCGCGGCCTATATTTATAGAAATACGCTCTTTCTCCTCACTTTGGAGCCGTCAGTTCGCTGTACAAGTAACGGTTAAATCCGATTATTGGTCCATACAAGAGTATCTCAAGAGTTGGCATGGGTGCTGTTGGCTAGCTATCTCCTCTCTCTCTAGTCTATTAATTCAGATTGGTATGCGCAGATACGTAATCATGTAGCTGAAACAAACAACTGCTCACTATGACTGCCATTCTTAGAATATTGTATTCTGTGAAGTTATAAAATGGCTGTAGCGCCATCCAGTACCAATGGAGCTAAGGTCATCTCTATTGAAGGAATTGATTTAGCGAATGAACTTTAACGTCTAGTTACTATTCTTCTAGTGGTCTCTTGGAACATTACACTGTATTTATAAGAACATACATTATTGTCAGCGTGCAGTTTTACTTACCGAGAGGATCTTTTCAAAGTTGGAATTAATTTGTTGACTAGCAGCGTTATCTCTAGTCTATCACTTAAAAATTACTGGTAGCTAATAGTATTCGACTAACTTTGCGCAAAATTCAAGAAACAAATGAACCGTCAATAAATAGAAACATTGAAATAATTCAAAACTTTCCTAACAATAAGATAAAACACCAAATAATCACATGACATTAGAGGTAAAAAATGTCATGGAATATAATGAATTACAGTTTTGTTTTATTTTACGCTAATTCTATGTTGTTGGAAATTAATCATTTCTACTATATCATTTTCGTGCGTGGCTAACCATATGAGACATTCCTAAGATATGGATGATCTCAGATAGGTTTTTCATCTCCTACCGCTAACTCTTGGGCTACTCTTTAAGAACGAATATTGAGATTGGCAGTCACATTATGAAGACCCCAGAATTTTTTATGCCAAGGTTGGATCCCGCGACCAGCAGGCTGTGAGTAGAGCGCCATAACCACCAGGTCATGCCAAGTCCCATTTACTAACAGTATTTGGTATTTCTCAACTTGAATTATATTTTATGCGACAAATGAGCTAAATGACCAGATTAGATGCTCCTGGAGTTCTGAGTTAGTAGATTCTAATTTGGAATTGTGAACCACAAGACCGATTATTGACGAAAATCTATAGGCCATAAAAGAGTCCAAAATAATTATACGTATTTTTCAATAAAATATCTGTGAATGAATAATTGATGTTATTTCTTATAAGAATAATTAAGAGAGAGTTTTAGGTACCTTAATAATACATGTTATCACGCCTATACAGGGCTCAATATATTTAGGCACCCTATCTTATCGTATTTAAAATATGCCTGAAGCATCGTGTTAAACTGCTCAAAACCTCAAGTTTCCATCAACTACAATACCGTTTATATTTAAATAGTACAAACGATTATTTAGAACACTGTATTCAGTGCTTAACGTGTAGTGGGCGATTAAACTTCCCTTTTATATTAAACTGTTTGTCTTTTCTTTTTCACTACTTCCTTTGTAATGTGTTTAGACTCTGGACATATTGGTGCTCAGTGGAAAATTACGCAGTTGATCAATATTACAGATAGCAGTATTATGTCATCAGGTTTCTTGGAATGTGAAATAAAAATTGTTGTTCGAATACACAAAAGCTGTTCTACCTAAACATTGTAATTTGAATATCTCTTGAAATTTAACATGTGGCTCCATCTGTTAACGCTGATATAAGACCAGAAATTTTAGAACCTTATGTGAACAACGTGTTTTCCGTCAGCCGTTATTCTGTGAGAAATTGGATCTGTACAGTTTTTATTGTGTTGTTCTAGCTACAGAAGGAAAGTTAACGAGTGGATTGATGTACAGACTATATTTCTTATATTAACAACTGAGTGCTCTGAACAGAATTTTGCATTATTTTATATATATTTAGATTTTACCAAACTTATCCTCACTCGGAATTTTCCTCGTAAAAGCAAATTTTCTGTTAACTTGTTATTGGTTTAAAACCTATCTTTCTGAACTTATGAGGTTTCTTTAGCTAGACACTTAAATTCGTTAGTAAATAGTGAACACAATAATTTCAAGACATACCTGGCGTTCGAAAAAGCAAACTAATAAATAGAATAGTGAATACATACTTTAAATGTACTTGCTTTTAAAGCCAATGATTGTTAAATCAAAAAAATGAGATTTTTTTTTCTCATAAATAATTGCATGATAGCGATCATTATGTTTCTACAGTGAGGCTGGTGGCCATCCTCCGCAGAGTGGCGTTTTTGGAATATTTCTGTTTTGTGGATCTTCATTAGGTGAGATATTCAAAAGTGACCATTATTTATTTATTTTTACGTAAACTAGTTCTGTTCCAACAGTTACTTAGTTTTCTGTTTCTGGCAACTTAAATTTTCTCAGACTCGTTTGTTTTTTCTTCAAACGCTAAGCAAGTTCATTTACAAACGTTGGAAGGTTATGCCACGATGATATGACTAGAATTTAATTTTTAAACAACATAGTCTAATAAATAAAATTATCACAAGAGTGAATCTTGAAAGCTATATATATAATTCTTCAGTTGTAACATTAACACGTAGAACCTAAAAATATGTAAGTTTAGTTAGTTTTTTAACGCTTGATATGATAATTTTATTTTCTTTAAATTAATTTCCTATAAAGCGATAGATTCTACCGGTGATCTATAAAGCAATAGTTTTTATCGATGATCTAAAACGCTTTAGTTTCTACAGGTCATCGGTAAAGTTATAGTTTCTTCTTGAGGACCTCTAAAGTGGTAGTTTCTATCTGTGATCTGTAAAGTTATAGTTTCTTCTTGAGGACCTCTAAAGTGGTAGTTTCTATCTGTGATCTGTAAAGTTACAGTTTCTACTTGGTGATCTGTAAAGTGGTAGTTTGTACAGGTTGTCTTTAAAGTTATAGTTTCTACTTGTGATCTGTAAAGTAGTAGTTTCTACAGGTGATCTGTAAAGTAGTAGTTTCTACAGGTGATCTGTAAAGTTATAGTTTGTACTTGGTGATCTGTAAAGTGGTAGTTTCTACAGGTGATATATAAAGTTACAGTTTCTACAGGTGATATGTAAAGTTATAGTTTCTACAGGTGATATATAAAGTCATAGTTTCTACAGGTGATTTATAAAGTGGTAGTTTCTACAAGTGATATGTAAAGTTATAGTTTCTACAGGTGATCTGTAAATTTATAGTTTTACAGGTG